TTATGGGTTTTAAGACTGGAATTTTCTTATGCTTTCTGAACCATAGACTGGCCTGGTCTGAGAGAAATAGAGAAAAGGCTGCATATATTTCTAAAAGTATTGCTCCAACCAGCAAGGAGAAGGTTATTGAAAGGTCTACCTTGACATAATTGTTCTTGTCAGCAAAAAAAAAGATCAGAAACACCATGCAGGTTAGACAGAATGTGATTATGCGGAGACCAAAACCCCAATGACTGTGATTTACACTTGCTTTGGTGTACAGTAAATCATACATGAAACCTAATTCGATAGCAATCACATTGAAAGCATCTTCATGAGACAATTTCTGGAAAAAAGACTGCCTTTTGTCGCGATCCTGGAAGCTGAGGATGAGATCGGCAAATATACACTTGAATGTCTGAAAAAACGCATGGGCTCTAAGTATGTTGTTGTCATCAGCTGTGGACTCTGATCTAGCTGCAGATACATCTATTTCAACCTGAGCATCTTTCACTTCTTCTGCCTCCACAGAGAACCCCTCTTCATGTTTCAAACTAAACTCTTCCATGAATTTGGGATAGTTGGGACCAGGATCAGGGTCAGTGAGCATGGAGTCTCTAAGTTGTCCACTGCTAGCCAGCCAAAGTGTGCATGTCCTCTCTCCATACTTAATGCACCCAACCAAAATCATGAGTATTGCTAGAAATGAAAGATGAGCGCCGCTCCATGCCAAGAGAAAGATGTATATTGCTGATACTGTCTGGACAAATAGTCCAAATAGGTGCCTCAAATATAATTCATTATCCTCTAAAGGATAGGCTGTAATAGTATCAGGACCACCCAAGTGCAACAGGAAAAATGGTGCCCAAAATGTGGTAAGCTCATCGTTGTGGTCAAGATTTTTAGAAGCACCATTCTCATAGATTTCTCCTAGATTATTTAAGAGTACGCGAAGGCCCATGGTTGCCACAGAATCTGCCAGCAAATAGACACACCAGACTATACATTTAATCAATACACCGGAATTATACTTCCTGCGATTGCCCAGAATGATGAGAACGATTTGTGAGATAAGGCTAAGGAAAACCAATGCCCTGAGCTCCCATTTATTCCACAAATCTCTTAACCTTTGAGGAAGCACCTCCATCATCATCCTCCTCTTCACCAGGATAAAGCTGCTAACAACTGAAAATGTATATATGCAAAATACATGAGCATTTGGTGAATGAAATATGATTATAACTATGGATGGCACGGGGTTTAATTTCTCCTTTCATACATGATGTTGTTATGAAAATTTGAAAAGAAATATATTTTTGAGTATCAGTATGTTGACATTCAAGTGTCATGGCCCAAAAAAAATATAAAATAGTATATAAAAATAAAAATAGAAAGAATTGCATACCTGTGAGTATCATATCCTAGATATTGCAGTTTTAATCTGAAGCAGATTATGCGTTCTCAAACCAGTTTCAATGGTGTCTGTGTAAAGTAAATTGTGTGCTTTGTGGTTCTTATACCGAGGTTTTTAGTTACAACCCTAAGTTTTAGAAAAACAAAGGAGACCGGTAGGTTTCAGAATAAAACAATTACACTTAACAGTTTAAGAATGAAACTTATACACCTTTGTGAAAAAATAACTATCATAAGGGTAATATAGACAACTCAACAAAAAAGTAAGTTTTTTATTTTCCAAATATCTTATTGAACTGCCAAAGTATATATTGATCATGTGGCAAATATCATATATTAGTTTCTTTTTATTGTAAGAGAAATGACAAAATAAGGGTATATTAGTTATTGTACCAAGATCATGTGGTTGAATAACTTTTCACGAGGTGTCTATCAATCATAAGGATGTAAATATCATATTCCAAAATTTATGGGTTTCCCTATCCTTCACTAAACTTTAGGGGTGTCCAAAAAAAGCCTCTCTTTTTCTTTCCTCGGTATTATTGTTATATGTGTTGTGAAATATAGGAAGTTTACTAATCACTCAAATAATATAATGAATGAGTACAGTATTATACCTATTAATGCTGAAATTGTTCTAATACTCTAAATTATTTGAAAACAACAAAAATCGAAATATTGCAAATTCTATGAATTAAAATGTAAAATCAATTAAAGAATGCAACAAACAAGATTGAATCACCAATTGAATGAAACGCTACGGCATATAATTTCATTAAATCCTAAAAACACGTAACTAAAGTTTTATCATCCAGTTTTGACGGTAAAATACTCTTAACCTATTCAAAATCCTCTCTCGAGTAGAATCTAAAGTACTTATATATAATAACCCACAATATCTCTATGTGAATTTAAAAACATATAAGCACATTAAGTTCTATAATATTCAATAAAAACCGTACATATCACATTGGCACATCTCTATCTTTCGTTCAATTCATGGCACACATCACAAGAAGCAATTTATATCTCGATCTCAACATGCACAACAAATCATTCAAATGGCACACAATCAATCGTTTAAAAGCATTAAGTAGAGTGATGCATATTTAACAAGGATTGATAAAAACCTCAATAACATAAATTAAGGATTCAAATCGTCATGAAGAGGCTACATCGAAACCCTTAACACAAAGGAAATTGGTTCACAATTGAACAAAGCAAAACCATAATTCCAAATTGACAAAACATTGAATAAACACTTACACTCTTATAGTTTAAGAATGAAACTTTACACCTTTGTGAAAAATAACTATCATCATAAGCGTAATATAGACAACTCGATAAAAAAGTAAGTTTTTTTATTTTCCAAATATCTTATTGAACTGCCAAAGTTTAATAATTTTAAATCATTTAATATATTTAATATTTTGATCATGTGAGAAATGTCATGTATCAGTTTTTTTTTTTAATTATTATTATAAGAGAAAAGACAAAATAAGGGTATATTAGATATTTTACTAAGATTATGTGGATGAATAACTTTTCACAAGGTGTCTATCAATTATAAGAATGTAAATATTGTATTCCAAAACTTATGGGGTGTCCAAATGAGACCTCTCTTTTTCTTTAGGTGAGCACATTAAGTTCTATAGTATTTCAACAAAAACCGCATAAGTCATGTTGGCACATCTTTGTGTTTCGTTCAATTCATGACACACATCACAAGAAGCAATTTACATGATTATCTCTCGATCTCAACATGTACAACAAATCATTCAAAGGACGATCAACCATTTAAAAGCATTAACTATAATGATGCATATTCAACGAGATTGATAAAAACCTCAATAATATAAATTAAGGATTCAAATACTCATGGAGAAGCTACATCGAAATCGTAGCGAAAAGGAAATTAGCTCATAATTGAACAAAACAAAAGCATAATTTCAAATTGTCAAAACACTGAATAGATAAATGGGAAGAAGGGACGAAAAGACTAGGAAGATGGCTGCTCCACGAATTCCTTCACCAACCTCTCATTTTTCTGGATATTGATTCTGTTAGACCGTCAACTTGTGTCATGATTTTCTCCTCGATTCCGGCTGATTTGGACAAATTATCGAAACCCTGATGAAATTATGGTCTCTGCATATATAGCCCATACGTAGACCAAGACTTTGAAGCTCAAACTTCACCTTACTCATCATTCAACCCTGCAGTCTCCTTGCGTCCCCGAGTATGTCAATAATCCTTGGATAAAGTTGGAAAATTAGAAAACAAACTATCAAATTCACATTTAAAAAAGAATAAATAATATGCTAATTTCTCTTAATGTTCTTTGAAAGAAGAAACTTTGAAGAAATATAGGAATATGAAACTATAAAGGCAGACAACCAAAAACTATTCAAACTCACCCATGTTGGATCGATGGTCCAGTTATTTTCAGTTACGACTCTCTTCTCGGCCAATCTCTCTCGGACTTCATCTACAAAATCTTTTCCCATATTCGTCAAAATGATTTCCTTCAAGGTTCTCACATTCTTCAACCCATCAATCTTCTTTAGCTTTTGGCAATATCTGATCTCTAACTGTTTCAGGACAGGCATGGCATTGTCATCGATAGTCCAATGTTTCAGCTCCTTTAGCACCCATAACTTCAAGACATGGAGTTTACGAAATGCATTTTTAGGACAAGTCAATCGTTCCCCTATGTAGGAATGAGCAAAAAGCCTGAGGGTGTTGAGGTCCTCCAGCTTCCCTAGAATTGGCATTGGATCATTCGATAGCTGAGACAATGACAAAGTAAGAATCTGGAGCTTTGGGGGGAATGGGCTTATGTCATATCTTCTTGGTAACATTCCGAGCAAATACAATTCTGTTAGGTTCTTGAACTCATCAATGGGAACCCGATTAAAGCCTGAAGGTTCACCAAAATTATTTATCAGTTGCAACTTCAAAGATTGAAGGCTGGTATGTTTACGGATCTGTTCGCTTATCCCCTCAAATGATGTTGTATGGCATGTCAGTCCCAGATTCTTAATAGAACTCAGGCTCTTCAACCAATCATTTTTACAGCAATTAATATTGCAGATAAATAGACCCCGCAAAGTCTGAAGGTTGGTTAAAGAATCCAGCATCCCTGTGGACGTCTTAAAATGAAGGTGGTTCATGTACAGATGCCTAAGTGTCTTTGACCTCCAGATGGACATTGGCAATTTGGTTATATTTGTGTGCTTCAAATCTAACGTCTCTAGGCAAGGAAGATCACCTATTGACTTGGGAATTGAGTCTAGAAAAGTCCATCTCAGACCTACATATCTTAAAAGCTTAAGTTTTCCTAGTGTTTCAGGTAGTACTGGTTTGTATACCTTTTCTAGATCAAGCACTCTGAGCAATCCAATGCCTTCTTTAGTGATTGTCTTGTTCAGAAAATTACCTAATTCCTCTGAAGGTTTATCACCCTTCCGGGTGTTGAAAGATATAAAGGAATGTAGATGTTTAACGCCTTCATCTGAAGAAGAGGGGTTGTTCTGAATATCTATATGTTCTGCAAACCTGCGGATGCATACCTTCCGTGAATTGGATGTAGAATTTGAATNTCCTTAACACAAAGGAAATTGGTTCACAATTGAACAAAGCAAAACCATAATTCCAAATTGACAAAACATTGAATAAACAAACGGGAAGAAGAGAAGTAAAGACTATGAAGATGGCTTCTCCACGAATTCCTTCACCTATCTTGTTTTTCTGGATCTTGATTCTGCTAGACCATCAACTTGTGTCATGATTTCCTCCCTTTGAATTAGCTTTCCAACGCCGCAACACTTAATGATTCTGATATCTGTAGCCCAAGTTGTCCCCAAAACACCGTGAGATGCTTTGATAATTCGAGGAAAAAAAAAAGGGAAAAAAAAACTTGCTTGGCCTTCAAGATTTTATGAATTTACATCACTCTCCTCCTTTTGCTTCAAAAATTTCCCTTTTTATCCTTGTTTGTTTCAAAACAAAAATAAATACAAAATAAACATAAAACATGAAAAATTACAATAAAATAACGCTAAACAAACCTAAATGAAGTTAGAAATATACATATACTTGAAGCTCATCAATATGCATTTTAGTTTTAACCCCAAAGAAAAAATTTCTAATTCTGTGTGATTTCGAAAAAAAAAAAAAAAAAGAAGTTAAAGTTTAAGAAAAAAAATTAATTTATATTTTCGCATACCATGTGCTTGATAAAATGACACAGTTTATAGTTTTGCAACATTATAAAATTATCGAAACCCTGATGAAATTAATGTCTCTGCATATATAGCCCATACATAGACCAAGATTTTGAAGCTCAAACTTCACCTTACTCATCCATCTTCACCCCTGCAGTCTCCTTGCGTCTCCAAGTATTTCAATAATCCTTGGATAAAAATAAGAAAATTAGAAAACAAACTATCAAAAAGAATAAATAATATGCTAATTTCTCTTAATGTTCTTTGAAAGAAATATAGGAATATGAAACTGTAACAGGCAGAAAGCCAAAAACTATACAAACTCACCCATGTTTGATCGATAGTTTCAGTTGCGACTTTCTTCTCGCCCAATCTCTTTCGGACTTCATCTACAAAATCTTTTTCCATATTCGTCAAAATGATTTCCTTCAAGGTCCTCACATTCTCCAATCCATCAATCTTTTTTAGCTTTTGGCAATATCTGATCTCTAACTGTTTCAGGACAGGCATGGCATTGTCGTTGATAGTCCAATGTTTCAGCTCCTTTAGCACCCATAATTTCAAGAAAAGGAGTTCAGGAAATGTATCTTTGGGACAAGTCAATCGTTCCCCTATGTAGGAATGAGCAAAAAGCCTGAGGGTTTTGAGGTGCTTCAGCTTCCCCAGCATTGGCATTGGATCATTCGATAGCTGAGACAATGACAAAGTAAGGATCTGGAGCTTTGGGGGGAATCGGCTTATGTCAAATCCTCTTGGTAACATTCCGAACAAATACAATTCTTTTAGGTTCTCGAACTCATCAATGGGAACCAAATTAAAGCCTGAAGGTTCACCAAAATTATTTATTAGTCGCAACTTCAAAGATTGAAGACTGGTATGCTTACAGATCTGTTTGGTTATCTTCTGAAATGATGTTGTATGGCATGTCAGTCCCAGATTCCTAATGCAACTCAGGTTCTCCAACCAATCATTTTTACAGCAATTAATATTGCAGATAAATAGACCCCGCAAAGTCTGAAGGTTGGTTAAAGAAACCAGCATTCTTGTGGACATCTTAAAATGAAGCTGGTTCAAGTACAGATGCCTAAGTGTCCTTGACCTCCAGATGGACATTGGCAATTTGGTTATATTAGTGTGCTTCAAATCTAAAGTCTCTAGGCAAGGAAGATCACCTATTGACTTGGGAATCGAATCTAGAAAAGTCCATCTCAGACCTACATATCTTAAAAGCTGAAGTTTTCCTAGTGTTTCAGGTAGGACTGGTTTGTATACCTTTTCTAGATCAAGCACTCTGAGCAATCCAATGCCTTCTTTAGTGATTGTATTGTTCAGAAAATTACCTAATTCCTCTGAAGGTCTATCATCCTTCCGGGTGTTGAAAGATATAAAGGAATGTAGATGTTTAACGCCTTCATCTGAAGAAGGGGGGTTGTTCTGAATATCTATGTGTTCTGCAAACCTGCGAATGCATACCTTCCGTGAATTGGATGTAGAATTTGATTTGTTGCTATTGACGTGGAAGGATCCCATGTCGTGAGAATTCTGACAGAAGGTATCATATAGACTACTAGTCACATTGCAAGTTTTAGGCTTCCCGTTTGATCTCCGCCTTACCACTTGAATAATTCTCATATTCTCCAGAACTTCAATATCTTTATTTACCAGCTCTTCAAGTTCTTCCTCTCCACTTGGTGTTACCAATCGCTCAGCAAGCCATAAATGAAACAATCTTCGCACGGGTACCTCATCTGATTTGGGAAAGAGACATAAATAATGAATGTATGCCCTGAAACGGGGAGATAGGATCTTATAGGCCAACTCCCAGATATATGAAGCTAATAGGTCTGGAGAAATAGATTGAGCTTCACCAAATCTTTCCTTCTTAAACACCCCTGACCATTCAGAGTTGCTGGGGTAGTTTCTAGTGGAAAACAGACCACACAGCACACATATTCCAAGCGGCAGACCACGACATATTTCCCCGACCTCGTCCTGCATATTTATTAAGTCTGAACTTTTGTATTTCCTCGCCATCTTTAAGAACAATTCCCGAATTTCATGTTTATCTAGTGAACGTAGCCGGAGAACAGTCGGACTGACACTCTTAGCTACAGTATCCTTACGTGTGATAAGGATTACCCTGCTACCACTCGATGATTTTGGTAAAAGAATCCTCCGAAAATCATACCAGGCACCAGGTAGATGGACATCATCCAAGACTATTAGGAATTTCTTCCCGGATAAGGTATCACTAAGCTTAGTTTCCAATTGGTAGGGGAGCAATTCTTCTTCATCCTTAGCCAGTTTTGTCACTTGTTTCAATATGCTAATCAACACATTTTTCATATCATAATAATGATCAGAAAGATAAACATTGACCCAAGCACGGAAACCAAAACTCTGCCGCATAAGTGAACTGTCATAAATGGTTTTCACTAGGGTTGTCTTGCCAGAGCCTGCAGCACCAACTACTACTACTACAACGACAGAATGCTTGTCACTAACAGTTAGTTTAGCCAACTCTAATATTTTATCCTTGAAAACAACAATATCTGTTTCCTCATCAAAAACTCCTTGCAACAACTGGTCGGGATCCTCATTGGAAAGTGGTTGCTCAGAGGTAACAATATCATCACCAACAACATTGATTTCGGCAGATGATACTTGGATATTACAGGAGCCGGATACAAACTCAGCTCCATTGCGCCTTGTATTTGTCTTCTCATCAAAAAATTTTTCCAAAGGGTGGTCGCGATCCTGACCTGAAACTTGTTGTTCAGTGGTAGCATTATCATCAAAAACAACATTGGTTGTGGCATATGATACTCGCATATCACCAGAGTTCAACGCAGGATTTCTTCCATAGAATATTATATTTGGATACCGTACTACATCGGCCGCTCGAAAACTGGAAATCACCCGGCTACCATGAGATGAGTTTGGAAAAGCATACTTGACAATCTCCCAAAGATCTGGTGTCCGGACATCAATCAATATTACAAGGTATCTCTTCCCAATTAACAAATTGCGGAGCTGTCGTTCATCAAACCTCTCCTGCATTTCCTCCCTGGGACCTGGAGTACCACGAACTTGTTTTATTATATCAATGAGCAGTTGACTTTTGTCAAACTCATGAGCAACAGCAACCCATGCACGGCGGTCAAAATGACCCTCGACCTCTACATGGTTGTAAATCTTCTGCAATTCAGTTGTCGTAGCAGAGCCTTCAACATCTATCACTGGAATAGGAAAAGGAGATGAGTAATCACTGAGAATAAGTTCAGCCAACATCTTTGCTCTACCCTCCAAGCCTGAATACCAGATCTGTTGTCACGAGCACTGTGGATTGCTTTACTCTGTTTAGCAGTCTTCGATGGTGGATGTCGAAGGATAGTCCACTCTTTTTCTAGATCACTCACTAATTTTTTCATTATCTGATTCATCGAAAGGGTTTGGATATGCACATACTTCAAACGGAAGTCAGCGAACACCAACCCGAGCTTCTGAAATTTTGTTCTAACGAGGAAGATGTCAATATTATCCTCTAAGCGGTAAATAGTCTGCAGTCGCTCTGGATTCAAACCACCTGGACTTCCATCTGGATCTACCAAATATTTCTCTACCTTTGTTAGTATATCGACTGACTATTTGACTTGATTAACCAATCTTGGGTCGGTGATTTGGTTCTTATCTATCAGATTTTCTAGTTTGGCTATCAGAAGCGTAATAATGACAGGTTCAGCAGCAATTAATTTCTCAACCTCGTCCATTGCTCCTTTGATCTGATGATTAAGAAGCCAAATTCACCAGTATAAAAGAGACATTAACAACATAAAGGAAGAAAACGAGGAAGATCGAGCAACAATAGAAGAAGAAAGCATGAAAACAAGGATGATGAAGAAGCAGGTGACTTTGAAGACTGACTGATAGTTGAAATCAGGGAAATGGACCTGATGAAGACGGGATTAACAAAATTTATTTCAATTTTCGTAAAAATTTAAAAAAAAAAAAAAAAGATAAAGGGTATTACAGTCTTTTCATAATTAAAGTTGAGATTGTCTGTATAATGTTGGGGGTATTTATTATTTTTTGAAACCTTTGGGTGTGCCTGATTATAAACAAAACCATGAGGGAGCAATAAGATCTCATTAATTTTGCTCTGCCCAAAAACTTTTATGACAATGACAAAATAATCACATCCACTATAATTCCATCCAAGCAAATTTGCTTAATTGCTTTGATACTATTTAAAGTATATTATTTGTTTCGTCTCCAAGCAATTCCAACCTTTTTTTTGTTTTTTTTAATTTTTGTAATTTCAAGGATTTGAAGTTATGCCTATTGTTCTTCATGTCTCAATGTTTATTTTTATGGAATATAGAAATTTTTTCATACTAATAATTATCTTTTGTTATATACATGGAAGGTAAAACTATTTGTACAAACTCTCATACTATTTATACAACAATAACACTACTCTTACAATACAAAGTAGATTTTACAAAGTGATGTGGCACTGCCATGTCATCTGACACGTCATCACTTGCCACATCATCCATTTCAATATATTGAATCTTCTCCTCCACGCTTCCTCTTTCGCGCTCTTCTCCATCACCGTTTTTGGCTGCTCTGCTAACTGCTCTTCACCATCTCCATCTCCATCTCCATCTCCATCACTCTTCTCCATCTTCATCGCTCTTCTCCATCTCCATCGATGTCTTCATCTTCACGCTCTTCTCCATCTCCTCTCTTCATCTTCATTGCTTTTCTCCATCTCCATTGCTGACTTCATCTTCGTGCTCTTCTCCATCTCTATTGCTCTCTTCATCTTCGCGCTCTTCTCCATCGCCGTGTTCTCTAGAAGCTGCTGAGAGGTAATCTTCATTTTCCTTCAATAAAATCTTTTAGACATTTTCTAGTTTGGAGCTAACTTATTTCTTAACTCAGAGGTTGGAACTTGGACGTTGATATGGAGAAAGATTCTTTGTTGCATTAAGGACGGTAAGTGGTCTTTTGCCCTTGGTTGAACTCGAATGTGGTCTATTAATTGGTATTGAAATAAGATTTTTCCAACATTTTCCACCAAGTCGTTGGTCCATTTTTCTGGGTTATTGCTTGTTTTGGTTGTTGTTGCGGCTGTTTATACTTGGTGTAGTGTTTTGGTTGTTTCCCTTCAATAGATACACCAGCGTGTTCCACTCTACATTGGAAGTCAGGAGGAAGTGGAGAAATTGGAGAAGTATTTAGCTTAACTGAAATGTAAAACAAAGGAGTAATTTTGTTCATGAAGATAATTCTTTCATGGAAGTTTCTCAAGAAATACACTAAATTGAAATAAAAAGAGAAGCAATTACTTTCCTTTACCTGTATGAATTACTTTTGTTTCGGGCAAAATATTGTCAGGTCTGCATGGGACTTCAGTTGTGTGTAAGATTCAATCTAGAAATTGGATCAAATTTTCAGAGGAAACAGATTATCAGAAATGGAAACGCATAATGATAAAGTAAAACATCTTTAGAGAGGTTAATTGTCTTCTTTTCATGTGGGAGAGAAGTGAAATTTCTTAGCCATTCTTCACGGTGACCAATCACACAATTTATGAAACTTGTATCAAACCAATGCCATAATCAGAACCTGTGCCTCAAATAGTCGTGAGATATTTACTTTTTTGGTAGATTCACCATAAAACAATTTTAATTGGAAGCCTGGATAAATAAATAACAAAGATTTTGTGCAAGAAGTTTCTACTTCATTATCAAATGTCATCAGTAACCTTCATAAAAAATTTACAATCACCACTGAATCAATATAGGCCATAATACAAGTGGACAAAGATAAGTATTTGATTAGCAAGCTGAAGGGTACTTTGCTTTGCCCAATCTTTCAACTAAAATTCTGTGGGAATGCTAAAGAGATGTTAAGTAACATGTAATAAAGAAATAGTAAATAGGCGGATGCTTAAGAATTAAGATCACAATCAAGCATCTTTGCTGTAAGTACTGTACTGGTACCGTGTCAGCATTCAGTCATCTTAATCTTAAAAAAGAATTAGTTTCTTGCTGAAAAAACTTTCTAATCCAAAGAACTCCTGCGACCTTTTGCTGCATTTCATAAGAAAAACATCAATTTTAGAACTCCGAACTAAATTTTGGTATACAGAACAATGAAGATACAAGTTTATCCCCAGTATAGAAAAGATAGGAAAGCAAAACTAAAAAGTAAGGAGCAATAAATTACCAGGACTTAAAATTCTTATGCATTTTGTTACTAATTTTACTGCTGTTAGGGTTTCAGAGCCTGCAAAATGCAAATTTACAAGATAAATACGACCACATGCAGCATCTTAGTCTCATGTTTCAGACACTACTCGAACATCAGTTAGTGGCCAACCGAAAGAAGTGTTTCTTTGGAAAACTCCAATTAGAATATTTGGGTCATTTCATCTCGGCACACGGTTTGGCTGTGGATCCCTCAAAAATTGAAAGTATTGTCAACTGGCCCCGTCCGAAGGATGTGAAAACACTTAGAGGGTTTCTTGGCCTGACAGGGTATTACAAACGCTTTGTAAAAGGGTATGGTAAGATAACACTACCCTTAACTAATTTTTTATGCAAGGATTCATTCATGTGGGGTGAGAAACCTCAGGAAGCATTTGAGGCATTGAAATCTGCCCTGACCAGTGTACCAGTGTTAGTAATGCCTGATTTTTCTAAACCATTTCTCATTGAAACTGATGCGTCAAGTTATGGTTTGGGAGCTGTATTAATGCAGGAAGGAAGGCCTCTTGCTTTTCTCAGTAAAGGTCTATCAGCAACATCGAAACTCAAGTCGGTTTATGAAAGAGAAATGATGGCTATCGTGATGGCGGTACAAAAATGGAGACATTATTTGCTTGGCCGACGTTTTGTCATCAGAACTGACCAGAAAAGCCTTCATTTTCTAACTGACCAAAAGTTGTTGAATGAGGAGCAGCAGAAATGGGTGTCAAAATTACTCGGGTTGCAATTTGAAAAACAGTACCGCCTGGGGCCAGAGAATAAGGCTGCGGATGCATTGTCCCAGCGCCCCGAGAATGTGGAGAATAACGCAATTTCAATGGGCTGTTTCGGCGGATTCGAAGAACTAGAAGAGGCAATCCAACAAGATGATAAGTTGTGGCAACTCACTCAGCAGCTCATGGTTAACCCTCATGGCCATCCTCATTTCAAACTCATGGGTAGACACCTTATGTACCAAAACAGGTTGGTTGTCCCGAAACAAGGCCCCCATATTCAAAAACTTTTGCATGAATTTCACTCATCCCCGATTGGAGGCCACTCTGGATTTTACAGAACATACAAGCGCCTGATGAATGTGTTTTATTGGGATGGAATGAAACGAGATATCCAAAATTATGTGAACTCTTGCAGTGTGTGTCAACAAAACAAATATGAAGCATTGCGACCAACAGGTCTATTGCAGCCACTTCCAATTCCAATCCAGGTTTGGGAAGATATTTCCATGGATTTTATAGTGGGGCTTCCGAAAGCACACAATGTGGATACTATCTTGGTAGTCGTTGACAGACTCACTAAATATAGCCATTTCCTCACACTCAAACACCCTTATACAGCCAAAGAGGTAGCAGCCGCATTCATCAAAGATGTAGTACGACTCCACGGCTTTCCAAGGACGATTGTTTCAGATCGTGATCGAGTATTCATGAGCCATTTTTGGGGAGAAATGTTTAAGCAGGCTGGCACTAAGCTTCACATGAGCTCGGCCTATCACCCGCAGACAGATGGTCAAACGGAAGTTGTTAACAGATGTTTGGAAACTTAACTTCGTTGTTTTGTAGGAAATCAGCCTCGGCAGTGGCCTCACTGGATTCCGTGGGCTGAATTCTGGTTTAATACTACTTACAGCAGTTCCACGGGTATGAGTCCTTTCAAGGCCTTGTACGGACGAGAACCTCCAACATTGTTGAAGTACGCAGACCACAGCTCACCAGTAGATGAAGTTAATTAGCAGCTTCAAAATCGCAACAGTATTCTCCTGGAACTTAAGGAGAATCTGCTTAAGGCTCAAAACCGCATGAAAAGTTCAGCAGATGCGAAGAGACGGGATGTTCAGTTTGAAGTGGATGAACTTGTATACCTTAAGCTTCAGCCCTACCGTCTGAAATCACTCGCTACCCGCTGCAACGAAAAGCTAAGTCCCCGGTTTTATGGACCGTTTCGAATCTTGGAAAAAATTGGATCAGCCGCCTACAGGTTAGAACTCCCCGCTGGTGCTTGTATCCATAATGTATTTCATGTGTCCCAACTCAAGAAAGCCAATTTTCCTCCATCGAACATTCAGCCTCTTCCGGACTCCTTAAATGAGGATCTGGTTTTAGTTGTCGAACCAGAAGAAGTGCTGAATACTCGCAAGCTAATCAATGGTCAAAGGGAAGTTCTAATTAAGTGGCAAGGGTTGCCCCACCATGAGAATACTTGGGAAGAGTATGACGGCCTGAATTCCCATTTTCCTTCCTTCCACCTTGAGGACAAGGTGGCTATTCTTCAGGAAGGTATTGATACAACACGTGAAGTGAGGGTTTATAATAAGAAGCGTGGGAAGAGGCACCAGGGAATCAATTGTGATAAAGGGAACAACTAAAGTGTGAGAGAAGCAAACAGATGGAATCAACAGGTGGCAACAGATAAGTGGCTGAAACTGAAATTCCGTTAGGGAAGGAGGTGAATAAAAGGGAGCAGCAGAGGTTGAAAAGGCATCAGAGAAGAATTGAGAAAAAGGGGAGGTAGCTGGCCCTCGAAGTCCAGCGTATTAGTTTCATTTATTTTCCTTGTTGTTTGTTAATTAAATTCTGGTATTGGGATGTATCCATACATGAATGCAACTCAAATTTTACCAGGAATTACATATTTGAGATTTTGAATGTTAGATTATTTACAATCCATGGTTGAGTAATTTGATGTTGGCCTGAGTGTGCTGGTCTATTGTAGGAAACATAAGGTTGGGAAGTAGGGGATTTTGGTGATGTCGCAGGAAACTTCCAGGGGTTTAGGCTGGGACAGGTGGTGATTAAGGGTTGGGACAGCAAAGGAATTCAGTTAGGGAGAGAGAGAGAGATGGAGGATAAAAGGAAAGGGAGACAGCAGATTACAGGGGGGAGAATTTAGGGAAAATTGGGAGGAGCTAACCCTCGAAGTTAGCAATTAGGGAGGAGCTGGCCCTCGAAGTCCAGCATATATGTTTTTCCATTAGTTTCCATTGTTTGTTAATTGAATTCTTGTAAATCTGACGTTGAGATATAGTCCATAGCTGAGTGTAATTCTGAACTTCTAAATGCAATATATACTCTGTTATTTTGGATGTTTACATGATATTTACAATGAACCGTTGATTACTTCTGGTGTTAGTATTTGTGTATGAGTGAGCAAGAGATCTGGGTAGGTTCGCATCAGAGTCACAATGAACTCGCTTAAGGTTCGAAGACTAGCTAATCTCCTGACTCCTTTTGGCATGCAACTTATTGAAGTTTCATCATTCACCAAATGTCTAAGGTTGATTAACTTTCCTATCCCTTGAGGTAAATTTTTGAGATTGGTACATAATTGGAGCTCTAAGGTTTGTAAATTATATAACTCGCACAATGTTTCAGGCAAATCTTTTATCTTTCTATTCTTGGACAAGTTAAGATACCTCAAATGTATAAACATTTTTATCCCTTTGGGAACTTCTTTAATTAAATCATACCAAGCATTATCATGGTTACTCAAATCTAATGTCCTTAGACATGTTAACCGATCAAATAACTTTCCCAGATCTACATCACTCATAAAACCACCTCTAGGCTCAACCACAAGGCTACGCAATTCTCTATCATTATAAACAGGGACTGGAAAAGAGCCCTCTCTTTCAAATATTATCATTAAATGTGGAACTTTTTCATAAGAAGACTCTGATTTAGACTTTGCAGAATCATTTACCTCCATGATAAAACATTCATTCTTTGCAATAAATTGAGCAAAATCATACACTATATCATGCATCTTGCAACTTATTATGCTCCCATTATAAGTGTTTCTTTGAAAATCTTGAAAAAATGAGAGCATCACTAAGTTTTCAAAGTATTCTTCTCCAATTAACTCCATATCTTCTCTTCCTTCTGCCTTAAGATAATTTTGGGACATCCATAACTTGATTAACCGACTTTTCTCTATCTCATAATTTTTTGGGAAAATGGCACAATATGAGAAGCATTTTCTTAGGATGATGGGCAAATCATAATAGCTTAACAATAGAGGTGGGAAAAGCCCTTTTTCTTCTGCAAGTTCCGATATCTCACCATGCAAAACGTTTTTCCAATCTTCAACATTTCTTTTAAGGCTCAAAAGGCTTCCTAAAATCTTTACAGCTATTGGCAAGCCGTTGCACTTGTCCACAATGTTTCTACCAATCTCTTCCAAATTTTCACATTGTTCTCTATTATGAAATGCAAGTTGACAGAATAATGACCAATAATCCTCCTTAGTTAGTGTTCTTAATGTGATTGTGAAGGTGGTTTCTATCTCCATTACAGCATTCTCCTCATGTGTCTTCCCTTTCTCCGCTACAGCATTCTCCTCACGTGTCTTCTCTTTCTTCTTTACAGCATTCTCCTCTAGTGCAGTCACTAAAATTCTACTTCCTTGGCAACCACACTTAAGATAATAATTCAACTGTTCCCATGATTTGAGATCTCCGATTTTTATGTTATCCAGGACAAGAAGAAATTTCTTCCCCCTAATAAATCGGCCAATATGCCGTAACACAGTTTCCAATTCGACCAGATCTGATGCATCAAATTCCCTTAGAGATTTAAGAATCGCTTTGGCAATCCAAATCTCTTCACAAGGATAAGAAGCAGACACCCATATTCTTTTGTTGAAATGAGTTTTCACCTCTGTATCATTGAATACTAGTCGAGCTAGACTCGTCTTTCCGATCCCTCCCGACCCAACTATGGAGATGACAGGGAGGCTCGGTCCTTGACTACTCTCACTCAACAATAATTCTAATAATTTATTATTTTCTGCAGCTCTTCCATAAACCTCTAACTGGTCAAGAAAAGAGGGACTCCTTTCTCGTTCCAGTTTCCCCTCAATTCCCTTCAACATGCTAAAATTAAACTTATGTTTCTCCTCAGTGATATATTCCAGCGTTTTATTCAGGCTTTTGATCTTGAAAGCTATATCACGACGCAAAACCAGATGTTTATAATGACACTGCAGATACGAAGGAATGAAGGAGCATACCTTTCTAATAATAGGCCTCAAATCATCCTCAGCTCCCTTCTTGACCGCCGTGTTCCACTCATCCAATGCGTCGTCAATGTCAGACAACGTATCTTTCACAGTAGTTATCGGAACTCGAGCAGCGCCATCATTCAGTTGCATGTTCAACGCATCATCAAGCACTAGTTGAAAGGGCAGGAACTTCTTGATGAACTTATCGACTTCTTTTTCAACAGCCGTGCCTCGACCTACCAGTACTCCCACTTCACGAAGGATTGAAGATAATTGATTCAAGTCCATCAAGCCACTCATTTCAGCCATAGTCAAAGAGGAAGATGGTAACAGTAACTGATTGCAGAAATATGAGAAACTGAGGTATTATTTGGTGTGAATAAATTTGTTGCAGGAATTGATCTTACATAGAGCTATTGGCAGTTTTCCTTTGGTTTCTTCCCTTCCTGAGGTTTAAGCCACTATCAATAATGTCCTAGAAGTATTTGAAATCATCAGCTACGTCCCCCCACATTTGGTAAACAATAATGATAGATATCCCAAAAGTTATTCCAAAATTCTTATCCTGTAGTGTTGAAGTGGTCATTTTTCAGTTAATCATATCACTTATATGTGAATTCCGCAATATATTTTAGGATTTGTAGCATAACTTATTCATAAAATCATGTTAATTCTGACCATTGTCAAAAGAAGGTAAGTGATTGTTTGTCCGAAGCTAAAGAGAGGCTACTAATGATTTCTCCTACCTTAAAAGTTCTAGTCAAATATATTTCTATGAAAAATTTAAGTTTGCAACTTTTAATTTACATTTAAAAAATTTAATACATAATTTAGTTTTATAACAAATATAAATTTATATGAAAAAATATTAAACTAGAAATAGGCGGTGGTTTTTTAGTCAATCATATATGAACACTAAATAAGATGACACATCACTTCAAATATGAAGTCGGGAATATATTTTTGGATTTGCAGCATTACTTATTCATAAAATCATCTATAACCTCCCCTCATCATGCTAATTTTGGCTATCGTCCAAAGAAGGTTTACTGATCATATTTCTTTAAACCTTAATGGGAGTTGGAAGATAATAACACTTTCTTTTTATCTCATAATCGCCATCATTATTTGTCCAACACAACCGTATCATAGAGTGTACAGTGTACTCTCAAACTTCTCAATGAATAAAATAGCAAAAAATGGAAATTTAAGTTCTTTTCCTTCATGTTTCCAAATTCTCTCTTATGAAATTAGTTCCAACAATGGAAATTTTCCATATATCTAATACATCAAACGTGCACTTAAAATTGGTTTCACTTCAAGTGCAGCCAAACAATTTGAATAAGTGCAAAATTACTAAGGTGATTGACAAAACTTCAAGGTGACGACCGAGTTTCCCATACATCATTCTACCAGTAAACAATCTGAATTCTAACTTCCTTCAGGTTGTGTTGCCAATATTGTTCATTGAAATTTCGCCAAGGAACTGTTTTTTCGATCTTGGCTGAGAGGGCCGGCAACAATCCGCATGAAAGCCTTAAGGATTTTTTTGACGATAAGCGGACGGAGCTGGACACCCATGTAGACTGGACCTCATTGCAAAAAGATCAGCAGGAACTCCTCTTGGTAATAGAAATAAGAAACGATCTGCAAGCTCAGGGTCCCAATTTGATCTATATTAAGCGAATACTTGGGCTCGAGTAACCTTTCGCCTTCTATTCCCACGTGTCAAGTTGAATAAATGAATGCATCCTCAACCAGAGAGATCAACCTGCGCTTTTTATTTTCCTTTTACGCTGCCGACGGTGCAGAACGCACTAATCCGCAACCAGCAATTTTTCCAAAACTGAACTAATTCAAGAAAATAAAAATTGGTTAGCATTGAAATTGCAACATTTAACTAATTTTTTCAAGGTATAAACAACAGATGTATATGTCAATAACATTTCAAAGTACCTTTATGAAGTCTTTGTTGGGCAGATTCTGGTCACAGATAATGTTTACGTTGTGAGTAACAGATTTAAATGTTTGCAGTAAATGAGGACCCAAACTTCTGTGCTTTCTTCAATCTGAACCTGACAGACTGTATTGGAAACACTTATCATTTACTTGGTATTGATGACAATGGTGGCTACCTTCAAATTTAATCTGATATTTGAAGAATCAGGAAGTCGTTTACCATACCAGTCCATCCTCCATATATGCCCTGACAGAGTAATAATTGCATAGCTTGAGAAAAAATTCAGGAAGGGGAGTATTGCTCCTGGAAAATTAGGAAGCCATGTTAATGATCCATAATTTTTGTAACCATTTGTAACAATATTGATCCATAATCTTTCAGGCTAATGAATTTGATCAAAATTCTTTCATATACCTTGGGATTTCATACTGTGGGTACTACCCCATTTTCCACTTACAAAGTCAATCCTCAACTGTGAATTTGAACAGTCACCATAAAGCAAAATGATATATAATAGAGAGAATCACTTCTCAGTTTCTAAGATTACAAATATATAGTTCATGCTCAGGAAAACAAACTTGGATGACTTGAAAAGCAGAGACATAATAAAAAGTGAAAAATGCAAACCTGTTAGCAGATGAGTTCTTTGCCAATAAACTGAAAAACCACTCACAATATATGATTGTTGCCTGCACGCTCCCTAATGTGTCAGCTTTTATGTTGGACCTGGGCATAAGAAAAAATGCATCCTGAATGATACCATCTTGCTTGATATTTGCATTCCCTTTATACAGCATATTGCTGAGTCAAAATTTGCAAATTTTTAAAATAAGTGAAGGCACATTGTGATCAACCATTTAACTGAAAATTCAATTATCTAGTTGTACCTTGAAGGAAGAAAACCAAACCGAGAAACTCACCAAAGGCAAAATGGTAATGTAAAATCTTCCTCTCTTTTCCAGCTAGTAACAGTTGTCCCTCTTGACTGCCAGAAACCACTACAGCCACTGCAACAAGCAATTCATGCGCCTCTGGAATCAAATATCTAACCCTGTAACAATAATTATAATCATTAACAAAAATAATAAAATGAAAAAATCGACAAAGAGAAGATTGCAGTTAACAGGAGAAGAACTTACTTGTGCAGTTACAACTGTAGCTGTCTGAAACTTTAACGGACATCTCCTTGGAAATCTCCTTGTACACTTTCAAAATTAATCATGATGTTAGGGATATGACTGATCTTGGGCCAGTCCACTCCCGTGCCCAGAGTGCAGCGTTTTTTTAGAATGGAACACCAATTGATGTTCAATTCTTCCAGTGTTACCATTCGAAAAATCTGATCTGACAGCGCGTTTAATTTGGGACAGTAGACAAAGGATAAGGAACGAAGGCACGGCATGATTGTTCCACAATCCCACACTTCAAATTCTTCCATGTTGACAAATTCGAGAGATTTCAATTTGGGGAAGGGAATAAATGAAGATGATGATGCGTTGTCACTTCCTATTCCCAAAAATTCGTTGCCCACTCTTTTCACACTCTCCATACTCCTTAGAGAGAGTGATTCAAGGGATGGAAGTTTCCCCAAAGGAGGCAAATGTGTAATGTTCATGCAATCATGGAGACTTAACATCCGCAACTTGGTTAATGACATAATCCAATTAGGGAACACATTACCTCTGTAGTATGTAATCTCTAACCTGTCTAAACTAAGAGGTGGTTGTAAGACATCAAGAACTAGTTCATCTTTATCCATCCTTTCCCCTTCTCTATCCACATTCACCCTCTCTTCTTCTGCATGCTTTTCAAAATTTAGATTCAAAAAGAGGAGGTTCTTATTCCGAAGTTCTGCTTCTTTGGCCACATCGACCTCAGACCCTCGAAGATGTGTCAAGTTTGCCAGAGATTTCAGGGCACATGCTTTGTCGCCATTGTCATCACCACTCACAACAAATTCACTTAATGTTCGAAGACAAATTAATCTCTCGATTCCTATTGGCATGCAAGTTAGTGAAGTCCCTTCATTTACTAAATGTCTCAAGTTGGTTAACTTTCCCAGCCCTTGAGGTAAGCTCTTGAGATCAGCACACCCACGAAGCTCTAAAGTCTGCAAATTATACAATTCACACAATACCTCTGGCAATTCTTTTATCTTTAGGGAGGACAAATTGAGGTATCTCAAATGTATCAATCTCCCAATCTCTTTTGGAATGTCTAAGACCATATTCTCATACCATATATTTCCACTCACATCTAATGCCCGTAAACGTGTCAATTCACCAAATAACCTTGGCATGATTTCATTCATCGACTGATAATTTGTAACTCCATATAGAATTAAGAGGCTACGCAAACTTTTCATACTACTACATATGGACAGAGGAAATGGAGCCTCTACCCCAAGAATTAATGTTGAATGATAAAACTTCCGGTCAGATAAATCTCTGTCTGGGCCTTCCAGAGCGTTGACTTCTAAGATTAAGAGCTCATTCTTTCGGATAAAACAAGCGAATTCATGCACTAAGTCATGCATCTTACAAAATAAAATATTACCATCACTATCTGTTTCAAAATCTTGGAACAACGATCGTGTTACTAAGTCATTGAAATATTCTTCACCAACTCTCTCCATGTCCATATTATTTTCTAACCCAAGAAAACCTTGAGCCATCCATAATTTGATCAATTGTTCTTTGTCTATACGGTAGCCTTCTGGGAATATGGCACAATATGAGAAACATTGTTGTACCGTTGAAGGCAGAAGCTGGTAACTCAAAAATAGAAGAGATAAAATATCATGTTCAGACCTGTTCAATTCCTCTAAGGCTCTTAGCCACTCCTCTCTATGTTTTTTTAAGCGCAAAAGACCTCCCATGCACCTTGCAGCAAGAGGTAGTCCACTACACTTGCCTACAATTTTTCTACCAATTTCTTCCAAATTTTCACACTCCTCGCGAGCTCTACCAGAAAAGGCAATTTTGCTAAATAATTCCCAACATTTCTCCTCCGATAATGGATTAATGGTGATAATGTCAATTGAATGCATCATACGTGCCACTGTCTCCTTACGTGTGGTAATCAATATTTTACTTCCATAGAGACCATTCTTCAGACAATGATAGAGTGGCTCCCATTTACGATAATCCTCTGTCCATACATTATCTAAGACAAGAAGAAATTTTTTTCCTACTATAGATTCACGAATGATATTTAAAAGAGAATCTAATTCCACAACTTTGGAGGGTGAACCCTTTAGACTTTCAACGATTGCTTTAGCAATCCTAAGCTCATCAAAAGGGTCGGATACAAACACCCATATTCTTTCATCAAAATTTTCTACAATCTGATTATCATTGTAGGCAATTCGAGCAAGAGTGGTTTTTCCAATTCCCCCCATACCTACGATTGAGATAATATGGAGGTTTCGTACCTGTTCACCCCCCTCAAGTAACTTACGTACTAGAGCATTCTTCTCGGCATCTCGACCATATATATCAGACACATCCATTGAGGAGACATTCTGTACTCCTTCAAAATTTTCACTAGTCAGGGTCGGACGAAAAAGAAAATTTTCTCTCTCTAGGGCGATAATATCTAGATTTTTAGTTATATCCTTGATCTTGATAGCAATTTGATGACGTAAATGGACTCGTTTGTAATTGAAGCAAGAGAAGGGAAAGAAAGGTACCTTCTTAGGAACAAGAACATTTTCATGAACTCCCTCGATTTTCAATTTCAACAAAGCAGTTTTCCACTCATCCAACACGTCTTCTAAGTCATAGCACGTGTCTTTGAGCTGGCCAAGCCAATCATTCACAGCTTCTTCCTTCAACCGTCTTTCCTCTGCTTCCAAGAGCACGGCTTGAACGGCTTCAAGATTGGTGCGCAGCATTTTAACTTCTTTGTCGACGCCCACTACTAGCTTCACATAATCTTGTTTCTCTTGCGTAATGATTGAAGCCAGTTGCTCCAATATACTGGAAACAGTTGCATACGCCATAAGAAGCAATCAGAAATAGTAATTGATCAACTGAGGTGCAGAAAGAGAAATGAATGGAGTTGTAAATCTTGCTTTCATGTTAGTCAACCCACGCCTGTATTGGAGGAAATTTAACCCCCCGGACCTCCCAAGTTTGTATTAAAAAAAATTACCTTCAAAATATTTTTTAATTTAGAAAAACTAACGTGGCATACTTAGGATTCATTACATATATTAAACAGGTTAAAGTGAAAGGATTTAAACATATGTGGGTAATATTATAATTAACAAAAGTTTGTTTAAATTTTAAAAATAAAAAATGGCCCCCACCCTTCAAAATCGCTTAATCAAGCCAAATACCCAAAAAACGACCGACGAACACCTTTGATTTCTCTGCCATTTTCGGCAACGAAAGTGCTATATTCTGGCAAATATTCGATCCTAAAGTTTCCTTATACAAAATCATGGTTGATATTCAGAAAGAGGAGGAAAACCCAACCTCGCTCCAAATCTTAGACTCCGGTGGCGGTGGTAGTTCAAACGCTGTCGAAGAAGACGCTTTGGTGGATCATCCGATGAGTGAAGGTGGTCCAGAGGCAGAGGAGATGACGGTGGCACAAGAACAAAGAGAAGAATCGAAAAACGGTTCTAAAAAGGAGGACATCGACGAGAATTTAGGCGAGGAGGAGGACGTCGGTGAAGAATTGGTACGTTTTTTATTTGTTTTTTTTGAATTGGATGAGAAATTTGATTGATTTGTGCGAATTAGGGGGAGATGTAGTCGGTTTTATTGTTATGGTGGTTATGGCGTTTTGTCGAGCAGTTGGCGGACATTAGGGGAGTGGCTTTGTTTGAGTTCCAAAGGATGTGAGAAGGCAAGGGAAGCCGTAGGGAGGTTGTTTGTGGGAGGTTGGTCGGCTGGGGATGGCAGGAGGTGGCGGAATAGGGGGACTGGAGGGCTACCCTGCATATCCTGCCATCCTTAGCCCTCCAACCTCATGGAACCTACCACAACAGCCTCTGTAGGGCTTGCATTTGCTTCCCCAGTCCTCTCGAGGCCAAAAACACCCGCTTCTCGATGCCCTCGAAGTCCATATCCCCCAAATTGGCAGCCATTGGTTGTTTTGGTTTCCTTTTTTTGCTGATATTTAGTTTATATCAATTGTACAGATTTTCTGCAGTATAAATTATAAAGATTATGGGTTGGAGGTTGTAAGCGATAAGATACTGTACTTCCCCATAAGGGTGACAGTTAGGTCGAGTTGGCAAGTTTTTATGAGAATAATGAAGATTTTACAGGAACAGAAGAAAGGTATATACCGATTCAAAGAGAGTTGTTTCAGTTATTTTGTGAACATCGGAGAAAATTGGAAAAAGGCGTTCTGGGGGCAAAGAGTGCATTATATGTTGCTGCACTCAGTTAAAAGCTAAAAAAAAAAAAAAAAAAAAATGTGGTTCGTGGTGGATGGAAAGCTACTACGTTTTGGGATGATGGAATATGCCCTGATGATAGGCTTAAGATGTGGGGCATTTCCAGATGCGACAGAGCAAGAGAGAATAAAGAAGAGTAGGGCAACTGATAACTTGGCTAAAAAGGTTTTGGGGGGGGGGGGGGGGGGGGGGGGGGGGGGGGGGGGGGGGGGGGGGGGGGGGGGGGGGGGGGGGGGGGGAAGGCGTCTATTACAGGATGCGATTTAGAGGAGAAGTTAGAAGAAGGTGGGTATACCTCTTCGGAGAGGTTCAAGATGTGCCTGATATGGTTCATGCATTCGATCCTAATGGCTTCTGACTTAACAAAAGCCGTTAATATGGATTGGGTGAAGTTTGCAAGCAACATAGACTTCTTTAATGCTTATCCGTGAGGACGGGTAATATTTCAACTAACCATGGACTCCCTGTAAGGAGAAGACATGGCATTAAAGCAGTGCCAATCTGTCGAGAAGAATAGACCGAGCACGTACAATTTGTTTGGCTCCCATGGGTAATGCAGGTAAATATTAATAGCTTTTTTTTTTTATATATATTTTGAATTATATGTGTTTTAATTATGATATGGACTGCTTTTTACAATGTAGGATTGGATGTATGAGACCGCCCCTGTCTTGGCTAAGGAAGGGGGGGGAGGGGGGGAGGATGAAAACTTCGGATGAGCGACTGCAATTTCCTAGGATGTTGCGGTGGCATATCGAGAAGTGTACCTATTGGGATTACGACAAAATAGAAATCGAAATTCAAGTGGCTCAGGTAAGATTAAAGGATTAATCTTTTGAATATGCACTTGCTTTTAAATGTGGCTTAAATTTGATTGATTTTCTTTCTTATTGTAGGGAGTCGCCCATCTTTTCCTCACTGCTACTAGGGGTGAAGAGGGAGAGGAGTATGTTACATCGTTCAAAGCACTGGAGGATGAAGCAGATGAAGGGATAGACCACCTAATGCTGGACCTAGAACGGGTCACGTATGTAAGTGCAGTTGCTGTGCCACTGCTAGAGAATGTTGTTGACACCGAGGATGATGAAGCTCCAATCAGTGGGAGGGAGGATGAAGAGGTTCGTACGCCTCCACCCAATTGGCAAACCGGTACAACAAGTACTGCTTTGCCAAGGCTTCAAGGTCGGGAGAATGAGGTGGTTGACCTCATAAACGGTTTGTTTGAAAGTTTTATAACAGCTGTTTATGAGAGGTTTGAGAAGATGGAAGAGCGGATGAGGGTGGAGGAGAAAGTCGATAGAGTGGTGGAGAAAGTTGGTAGGGTATTGAAAGTGGTTGAAGTGTAACCTGAGCATAAAAGAGAGAGCCGAAAGAGTAAGCACATAATTTCTCCTTACACGGCAGTAATGTATGGAAAGAAGAGGAAAACGAAGAAAAAAAATGAGGAAGTCTGTGAAAGTGGAGAAGCAAAAATAGAGGAGGTAAGGAGGAAGGCGGAGGAAGTGGGAAAGTGAAAATGGAGAAGGGTGAGGCAGGGTGCGAAGGAAGTGGGGAAATGAATACGAAGGAGTTAAAGATTAATTTGTATAGGCCAATAGATGAGGAAAAGAAAAAACTCTTCTATGACTATTGCAATGATTCTGGAAGTGATGGGCATGTGAAGTGCAGATCGGGGATTATCCCTGGGAGTGGTTTGAAAAGATGCTGACAATGGGCAGGTGGCTCGACGACTCGGTGAGTTATTTTCCCTTATTTTGGCTTATGTTTTCCATGAGGTATTGTATACTTATCATGTTGTTTTTTATTTGATGCAGCACATCGATGAGGTATTGGCACTTATGAGGCTATGATAAAGCAGTAATGGTGATATTTTGTATCTGCACTATGCCATCACTGATGTGGCCTTTGTCCAAACGCTAGTGACTACATATGACACTTTAATGACAAAGGCCAATGGTAGAGATGCAACAAGGGGAGGCAAGCGGAAAAGATTGGCCACAAATGACTTCGACGGTGTCCCTAATGATTTTCACTTTGATGACAGGATGATGCAGTATGTACGGGGGAAAGGCCTAAACATGGCAACAGTTGGGCAAACGTTAAAAGAGTATATTGCATCATGAACATCAAGGATATGCCTTGGATAACCGTCGCTGCACTACTAGAAGAGGGCTTGCTACAAATTCTTGACTACAATCCAAGTATTTGTCGAGAAAGGCAGTTGGAGATGCAGTTGCAGCCTCTGTGTATATTGTTCCTATGGCTGTTGCACAACAGCGGGATGTTTCAGCACTTGGGTGGTGAACTACTGACGGGAAAGTGGCCACTAAAGCGCCTTCCCGTCCCAACAACTGACTCAAGGTAAATTTAGTATAAAACTTACATAATACAATTGTTCTATAAACTGATTCTAATACTAATATCTTCCTCCTATTGTAGTGTTGATTGCAGGGCATATGCACTAAAATTTATTGCGTTCAACATGACCAACACCCCGATTGACAGCTTGAATGACTAAACATTAAGCAACTGTCGGGAGCACTAGGCTATTGAGTGTTTTCATGGGCATATGGATCCCTTTTGACTGACCAAACCCAATCCAAGTCATTGTTGATGCTGTCATCAAAAGGTATGGAAGTTGGACTTAGAATTTTGTACTTTATGTGATGCTGTCTTATTCGGTTGTCTTGACTAATTGGATTGTCTTGAATTGGATCAGCTAATGTTGTTAGGCGTCAGGCTGATACTTGGGTTGTGATGTTATGTATGCTTTGTGGCCAAGGCCAAGGCTGGATAATGTTAGAAGGGGTGCTGTAGAAGAAGACGAAGAAGCTGTTGCTGCTGAAGGTGTGCTGAATAATTTTTGAGGATGGGGAAGTGGCTGAAGAGATTTATGAAGATGGGGGATGAAGGCTACCGGCCCTGCTTCTGTTTTGGGTGTATATAAGACATTTATTTGTTGTATATAATGTTGTAATTTAATGTAATTGACACATTTCAAATTTGTACAAAAGCAATTTAGTATTTCTTTCCCTCTTTTGAGTTTGAATTTATTTAGTGTTCTTGTTACATAGCATTGATGTGTTGATGCAATTAGGTTGTCAAATTCAGGAGAAAAGCTGAAAAAAAAATATGTATTGCACATGATCGTTTAGCGATATATAAGCAACTACATATATCGCTTAAGCGACCAAGGGTTTTCTATACAGGATCACTTAAGCGAGAAAAAAAATCGCTTAAGTAATCGTGCATCTGGGAACATCTAGATTCTACCATGGACATGATCGCTTAAGCGACCAAGGGATTGTCTCGCTTAAGCGATTGTGCATCTGGGCAGATCTTGATTCTGCCTTGGACTTGATCACTTAAGTGATCTCAAATCACTTAAGCGACCAAAGATAAAAGTGAATAATCACTTAAGCGAGACAATAAATCGCTTAAGCGATCATGCGTCTAGGCAGATCTTGATTCTGCCGCTCGATCGCTTAAGCGATCCCAAATCACTTAAGTGACTAAGGGTAAAAGTAAAGAATCGCTTAAGCGAGACCATAAATCGCTTAAGCGATCGTGCATCTAGGCAGATATTGATT